TTCACTTAGTTTTAATATAAACTAATCTTTGATCATTATTGGAGTAATGAACCTTATTAGTTTTAAAGAGTTACTGCTGACAATTAACAATTTTTGATATATACCATAACACAAATAATTAAAGTCTGATTTTTTTCTCTCTCGTTTGTCTATAGTTCGTTCACCAGGAGTAGGCACTTGGCTCCACCTTCATCACGTGGTATGCTTCAATACTATTTTTGGGAGAAGGATGTGAACAAGATTACTATTTGAAAATTGCATCACAAAAATATTTATTTAGCAATCTTTATGTGCATTTTTTTAACATTAAATATTTCATAAATTTGATGAAATTTCTCCCTTTTGAGAGAATAGTTTGAGACATTCTGTTGCAATATATTTAATTAGTTAGAGTAATGAAAGGTATAACAGCAGATGATAAAGCGAAGTAAGTGATTGAAAAATAAATCACTGTCTTTGTTCGGCATGCGCATTAAGGGTGGTTTCAATGTCGAATTCCAAATTCAACTATCTAAGGGTTTCAAGCTTGGAGACGTTTCCCTCTTGTTCCCGCACTGAAAAGAACTCTTCGTCCGAAGAAGTGGAGCCAAGTGCCAACTCCTGGTGAACGAACTATACCATATAGTTTTTGGACCACTAAATTTATATTGCTGGTGTGAACGCTATTGATAACTATATTGAAACAGAGAACTAAAAAATAATATTTTCTATCATCTATGAAATCACACTGATTTATTTTCAAACATGGTTTTTAAAATAGTTAGAAAGCAGCAATGAAACACGATTATGTATTTTAACAGTTTATTACACTTCGTTGCCACAGAAGGACAGATGAATGCAGTCTATATTCTAGAAAAACTTAAAAAAACAAACAAATGATACACAATGATTCGGTAAAAACAGACACAAATAATGTGTGAATTACACTCACATGCAAATATTTCCTTGTTTCATTAATTTCTACAATGATGTTTCACACGGCTGTTTCTGTCAACCAACTTTCAAGATCAAAATATTTGACACATCTTTAAAGCACTTGCAGTTTCGATATTTAATCATGACATTAGCATAAAATATTAGGAAAATCGAATTACAGTTTGAGGAAGTTATTTTCTCAAAATATATTTCTCGTTGATCAGTGCCATTCGGTGAAAAAGAATATATGTTACATTATATAATTTTTTTTGTTGTAAAAAATAAATATTAAAACCATATGTACATATTACGGTTGAGTAATTTTATAATTTAAGGCATTCATCGCCTTAATGAGCATTAAAAACATTATAGCTATGAACTGCTTCACAATTGTTAGAAACAGATAAGTGTTAGATATAATAAGTCACATGTCTAAATTTTGTACAACAGTAATAGCTATTGTGCGAACATCAACAAATAATATACACTTTGTTGTAACTACAATCCATCCACAACGAAACAAATATACAGTAAAATTAGCAAATTTTAATAATGAAAAATTTATTTTCAATGAAAATAGAATTCAGTATGTGCTTAGTTTTTTTTTTTTTTAAACCTACTGGCGATATTGACATTTTTCATTTCAATTGCTTTGAAATGTTCACACATTTTTTATACAACTTTGGTTCAGGCTCATTTTCCTTGCCCTAAAACTATCAGAAAATTATGGTAATGAAAGGTCATTTTTCTCATCTAATTCTAGATTGTCTCTTTCTAGATATGTAGGTGTTTCGGCACCAAAAAATTTGACTCTCTTTTTTTTTTATGTACAGAACTTTTAGTAGGTAGAATTTTGAGTGAGGCTTTTCATGTTCACAACCATTTAGAAGATAAAGAGAAAAACTATTTTCTATATGCAAAATTACTAGTGGGTTAAAAACAGGGGTGCCATAATTTTGTTGTAAAAAATAAATAGCTCAAACTATTATTACCATCAAATGCTTCTGTTTAGTTTTTATTTTATTTTATAGAGAAAAAAAATACCAACAACAAATTGCAAAAAATTATAATTACAATTCAATTTTCTTAAGCAAAGGAGCATTTTTAAGCATTCTTTTTTAAGAAAATTTTTCTCTTCCCCTCTAACTTTGGTTGACATGCTTTTAATTTTTTAAACAATTTAAATTCTTCGTAAGAAATTGATAGTTTAACAAGTCTGTTCATAATAGTTAGCTATTGCTTTTAACTCTTTGCTTGCAGTGTTTGGCATGCTGTATCAGGATAAGTAAAAAGTCAATAAATGCTGTATATATACAGTGTTCTCCCAAAGCGTTTTTAGAAGAGCGGCCAGCCTTAACATCCTATAAATGCGCCCTTTTTGAAAAAATAAGCCTCCATCCCTTAAAAACACTGTCGTTTTACTCATATTCCAATTTAAAAAATAAATCACTGTTTAACAATAATTACACACTGATAAAATCATTTGTGTTTATTGGTTTAATTCTGATTACTATTACAAACATTTACTTTGTTAGGATTATTCTCAACAGGTTTAATTTTTATGAAATTAAATTCAGGGGGTTTATTAAGGAATTTTTTAATATCTCTTTTTTTCAGCTGGATATATTAACGAAATTTAAAACTCTAAAATTATTTTTTAAATAAATATCTTTTTTTAAAAATAAAAAAAAATTTAATTTTTTTTATAATTTTCAGTTTAAACTATGGAAAAAAGCTTTCAAATTATTAGGTTTGAGAAAAAAAAATTATTAAATCCATCAATTAAACATTTTTTTTTAGTTTACTTTTTTTGGAAAAAAAATTATGCTCTGAGATTGTTTTTTAGCATGCCTTTAATAATTCTTTTTATTAACTATGAATTTTTTTTGATAATCTTGGAGAACTACTTTTTGAATACATACTTAAAATAATAAAAGGTAATTAAAAAATTATTGAGGAAAATTTTTTTTATAACATTACGCAATTTGATAAATTTTTATAATGTTAAGTGAGTGCTCAATTAAAACTCAAAATGCCCTTTTCTGTGAGAAGGAAGCACCCTGCCCTTTTTTAGTCACAGGGAGAACTCTGTATGTATATAATTATATATATATATTAATTATAACAGACAAAAATCAAATTAGGTTCAGAAGATTTAGAAAATCAATTAAAAAATGTCAATTATAAGAGGCAGCAAATAATATAGGTATTACTAGAAAAATGTTTAGTCTCTCATACTTTCACTTTTACATTAATATATATGTATTACATGTAAAGGTTAATAAAAGAAAAAATAGTGTTTCCCATTACTGTTGTTGGTTAACATACAAAACAGTAATATTGCAACTGATAAACATAATTCATATTTAAAAATTAAACAGAAAAAAATATCATTAAAATATTAAAAACCGCACACAAAAAACAAAAAAAGAATTTTGAAAAATATGTCATTAACTTCAACATAACAGAATCATGCATAAACAATGAGGAATTTTCTAATTAAATGTTATAAAATTGAGAATTAAGACAAATACAGCAAAAGTTTGTTATAAGAAAAATTTATAATTTGCAAGCAATAATAAAAAAAAAGGATATGAATTTTAAAAAATTACTGCATACTCTAAAAAAATATCAGACAATATTTTCAAATATATATATAAAGTATTTTAATTGAAAAAAATCGACAACTCGTAATTGCAAACATTTAATGTGTTCATTTCTTTCAAATGCAACATATAAAAAAAGATATAAAATTCATATTTTAAATTTTTTAGATTATTTCCATCCCTTATTGCATATGATAAAATAAGAGAATAGATGATTCTTTTAAAGGTAGTTTCATATTTGATTGCAGATATTGATAAACATTACACACAACCCTAACAAAACAAAACTCTCACTAATGCAACAAAAATTATAAAAGAATAATTTTATTAGAAGTAATTAAAAACATTTTTTCCCATACTTCTTTCATTAAAAAAAAAAAAAAAATAGGAAACAAAAAGTGAAAAACCTAAATAATATTTATTTTCCCTATTCAACAAATTTTTACTTTTATAACAAATACAATATTTAAACCAAGATAAAGATTATTAAATTTTGATAGAAATAGATCTATCAAAGAGTATGCTAGAAAATTGATGCATAAAAATATCTTAAAATATTGAAAAAGTACTTTAAAAAAGGATGCTATAATAAAATTTGTATTTTGAAAAATTATCATATATAAATTTCAAACTAAAATAATTTGTAAGTGTTTAAGTTTAACGTCTGTAGGCATAGTAAAAGCAAAATAACTATGAACCCCAGTATTCATTCTCTAAAAGCTGCATGCAAATTACTTTGCATCATAAGAAAATAAACTCTGAAAACTAAATCAGAACAATTAGTTCTGCTACATTTTTCATTTTCAAATTCATGACTTTCAATGACTAATACCAAGCACTTTTCATGACTTAACGAAGTTACTATTTTCTCCGACAAAAACAGAACAATAAATTTAAAAAGCATTATAATAATATTAATTGAAATGATAGGTAGAACCAAAACTGTTATACTCTGCATCTTCATATTTATAGATTTTAAATTTAAAAAAGAGAGTAAAGAAAGAGTTGAAGCAATAAAATAGCAGGAAAAAAATACAAAAGCAAACAATTTTGTTACTTTTTTTCAGTAGAATTATATTCAAAAGATACTTTTCTTGTTCATCGGAAAGGAAAGAAATACTCCCTATTTTTCTGTTCTCATTTCCGAATAAAAAAAATTCGCCAATGACTGGTTTGCTTCAGATAGAATTTTAAATTGATATAATAAAATAATTAAGCAACAAAAATTCTGAAATTACAGAAATTTAAAAGATAATTCACTCTAGAAAGGATGTTTTTTCTTTCCTTTATTAAAAGAACACCGTAATTATTTTTTTAAAAAAAGATAAAAATATTTTATATTTTAATAAAATATAACTGTTAGCGGGGACAATTTCAGATATTCGGAACACCATGCAATTGGGGGGGGGGAGGTAAATTCTATTTTAGAAATTTGATTTTTCGGCGACCTGAATCCATGACTTTCCATGATTTTTTTTAAAAAAATAGTTAAAACCATGACATTTCATGACAAATTTTGTTCAATACCGAAATTCATGACTTTCTATGATTTCTCATGACTTTCCAGGTGGGCAGATACCCTGTAGATAATCACTAGTACTAACAATGACTATCAGGTCGACCATTGTTAGTAAGAATGTGTTCTAAATCAGCTTTAAAAGATTGCAATAAAAAATTCCTTAATTTAAGACATTTTATAGGAATTTTTCTATTAACAGATCAAAACCATTTTTTTCTCTGCAAAGCTCACACAAACTTTTTTCAAGTTCTTTCTTTTTTTAAAAAATAAAAGAGAGACTTGTTTCTTAGCGGTTTGAAGAGCTGTTCCGGGAGATCTTCTAATCATTGATCAAGAGTGTCACAGCATAAAAACTCTGAAACATTTATTTGCAAATGTATAATAATAAAAAAAAATAATAATAAAAGCAAATTAGCAAACAAATATTAAAATTCAGAGGGATGTTGTTGAAATTGCATCTAAAAAGTAAAGATTATAAATTTTTCTAACAGTTAATTTTATAAGTGTCGATTCTTGAAAAATATGTTTAAATTTGCTCACCCCTATATTATGTGTTCCCATTTCGTTCGTTTTATAATGATAGTCAAGCGGAAAACATAAAATCGGGGTCCCGCTCCATATATATATATTGCTGGCCTTTAATTTATCAAAATACTGTTAATTATTTCAAAAATTAGGTCAAATTATCAACTTTTACAGAAATATTTCAATTATGATATTGTAATTATTGATACTATATAAACTTATACATGATACTATATCAACTTCTCATATCTAAATCAAAAACCAAAGTATAAATCAAGAAAAAAGTTTAAATCAATTCCAAAAGAGAGCTTTTAATAGGAAATTTACGAAACATAATTTGAAAATTAGTGGTAATATTTCTTTTTCTTACTACACCGTGAATTCTGCTATTCAATTAACAAGAAAAAATTTTTAATTTACTGAACTCATCCATCACAGTTACACAAGCAATGACCCTATGAAAAAAGAAGTGTATTTAAGTTTAAATTAAGTTGGTATATTTTTATTCCCTCAATTTAAAGCATCACATTTTCATAATTTCAAATTCTGATATATTTTCATATGTCTCATGGAGATACTTATAGATTAATTTTATAAATTTTTATCCTTTGAGCACATTAAATACTATTAACGAGGAAGTCGACTGAAAGTATAAATGGAAATCAAAATTTTTCATCTTATAACAGAGATAATAAGACTATAGAAATAGGAAGACTGTGCAGTTTAAAAATCGTTGATTTAATTATTACCCTTCTTATAAATAATAATTAAGTTCAGAAGTAAATCTATAGTAGACATCGAAAAAAATTAGTTGATAACTATAACTAGCACTTTAATAAAAGGTTCGAAACATTCTTATCAAAAAGCAATGAAGTTAAGGCAAAAGACAACTCACTTATAATTTAACAGCTTATAATAAAAATATGTTAAGTAACCTTTTTAGGGATTTTAGAAAATAAGCTTTAGAAATGTCACAAAACTGTTAACAAAGCATTTTTTATGTCAATGTAAAATTATACTTAAAGCCCAGGAAATAAATTTAATTCTACCAGAATTAATTATTTAACACTTTTGGCCAATTATGTAATCTGTTTTTCATTGAAATTTGAGTGTTTTTGAAGAATAAAATTTTTATTAGAAGTGTTACTTAACATGTTTTTACATTAAGCTGTTCAATTAAAGAATTATTTTATCAAAATTAATCAGCTATTCTATATTAAATCAACTACAATATTAAAATGTGGATTAAAAAATTATTTTTTATAATTGATTGGCAGTGAATATGCATGCAAAATACAATTAATATGCTATACTACTTTTGAGAAACATAATTTGCATAAGTTATGTTAAAAAAACATATAATGATAATGTAATCTGTTTTTATATTTTTTAAAAAACATGTATAATAGAAATAGTTTAAGATATCAAATATCTAATACAAATTGTTGAAAAAATAGTGTGTAAAAATAATAGATAAAACTAACTTTTATATAGCAGAAACAAAAAATTTTACATTTTATGGTTGTGTTCAGAAAAATATTTTTTATGTTTATAACATATCATAATTCATTTCTATTATGGTTTATTATTATTGTTTTTAACACTAGGTACAATTATTCAAGTTGTAGTATACTTTTTAACACCTAATTGATGTTAAGATATCTAATATAAATGGTACATGTTTTTTCATGGCTGTTTTCATAAAAATAGTAATCATAAGTAAAAATTGTGTAACATATCATATTATTCTGAACAAAAGGCATAAATATATATATTGTATACTTTCAAAAATCTACAAAAAATATTAGATATAATTTTAGTGGCTGTATAATTTTTTCATTACCTCATATGTGAATCTTAGCTTCGAAAAACACACTATAAAAAAATTTATGTTTTATCAACAGTGAAACATTTGTGAATATTTAAGCTATCTGGGGATTCCACAATAGATGAAGAACATGTAAGTTATTTGGGTAGAAATCCACATAAACAGAAGTGATTTTTGAAAAATGACACTAAATCTACACGCTCAAAAATGTAACTGATTTTAAATATTATATAATTTAGCTTATTCTAAAAATAACTTTTTTCTTTAGACTTAGTAGTTTTTTGGTCTGTATGAAGTTTTTGAATTTGTATTTACTAAATATTTAAAAATAGCGAAGTCAAGAGCATGCAGCTCCAAGTTGGTACGGAAGGAGAAATTTATGACAGCATAGTAGTCAAGTGAAATCTTATAAATTTTCAATTTTATAACTATTTAGTAATATTTTATGTGTATTTTAATTAATTGTTTTATATTAAGGTACAAACATATATTTAATAATTTTAACTTTCTGTGTATTTTTCTATAATTTTGAAATTTAACCCCCAAGAATTAAATATTTTTTATAGATAATGTTTATTTTGCTTCATTTGCAAAATTAAAATTGCTTGAAACTGAGATTTCATGCAGCAATGCATTGGTATTGCATCTCATTCGGCATTGTATTTAAACAGACCATAGTATAATATTATGTATGCTTGTTCCTACTTTGCAATTTAACATTCGAAATATTTATATTATTTTATTAGTTAAAACTTGAAGTCCACATATGTGGACCTAAAATTATTAGCTCCCTGGCAGTATAATCATTTATTACTTTTTTCCACAATAAGCATAAATAAATATATTACTAAAATTATAGCACCTAATTCTAAATAAATTATTTTAAGATATCCAATATCTTTCACAAATTATTGTTCTGAATTTCAGTGTGAAATAAGACAAATGAAACTTTTTATTTCCAAGCTAAAACTTTAAAAAAAAAAAAAAAAAAAAAAAAACATTTGATGTACTGTTAGCGGTTGCATTTTGAAAAACAATTATTGAGCTCAGCAACATTCATTAATACATAGCTGCCAACTTGGATAGGAAAAGCTGTTATTTTCTTCCAGTTATGATTGAAATTAAATAATATACTCTAAATTTTATGTTCATTTATAATTTTGAACAGTAATAGGCATTTAACTCATCAAAAATATTTAAAATATTTTTTTAATTAATTTAAAAAGGGTGTTCTGAACAAAAATAAACTGAACATTTCAGAACAAAAAAAAGTTTTAAACTGATTTCTATAAATAAGGCTTGATGCCTTATGTATTAGTAATCTTTATTTAAATATTCAAACAAGTAAAAACCTGCACAAAAATTCTATTTCAATAGAGATTTTTTTTTAAAAAAGACTCACTCAATTTTAGGGAATTTACTAAAATGTACAAAAACCAGGATAATTTTTATTTAAACAGTAGATCAGGAGAAACTGGCAAAAACCAGTAAACTACTGGAAAATCCAATAGAGTTGGCAGCTATATTAATAACTTAGTTTTGGTTTGAACACAAAAATATTGAAATAATTCAAAAGATATTCAATACCTAATACAAACCCTTGAATTATTTTTTTTAAAATTAGTGTAAAAAAATAATCAAAATTTAAATTTTTTTTTTTTTACAGAAAAATGCACACCAGATCCCAATTAATGTTAAGAAAGGGAGCCACCAAAACAAACTTAGCACTAACAAAATTATTGCTGCTTGCATAGGCACACAACTCTAGTATACTTAATAAGGCCCTTAAAGGCAATTACAAAGTGTACAAAAATATAAATACTAAACAATTGGATACAAAACAAATGGATACAAAAAAAGAAGGGTAAAACTCTTCTATAGTTACTGGAAGAAACATTATCAGCAGATTTACAATTTTTTTTTTTAAATAAAAAAAAGAATATTTTACGCTGCAAAACTTTCCTAAAATAAAGCTTTTCTAACAAACACATTATTACAGCAGGTGTAACAACACCACCAAAGTCAATCTTTTGTACTTCCTATAATTTTCATTAAATTACTCTACACTAAATTCATTCCCTAGTTCATCTGGAACAACAGCTCATTGTAAAAACTACTTTCGAACTGTCTTTGCCGCACTTTTTTAAAACTATGTCTTCGACAATGAAGTCACTGACAGAGGAAAAAATTTGAAAAGTTCAAAGCACACACATATGGCAAAGGATAAAAGAATACCTCTTGTCTCCAAATGAATTTTTGTTAGTTTAGTGGAAATGTTTAAGGTAAACAAGTACTTCTACTTTTCCTTTTTGTGCTTCTTACCGCGGCGTTTGTCTTTTGGTTTAATCTTGCGCTTTTTAGTGCAACGCTCACAATACCAGTTATCTTCTTCTTTTGGAGGGACAACAATATTGACACAAACCCTAAAGCAATGAAAAATAATCCACACATTAAAAATTATTAAATGTATATATAGATTTTAGATTAGTGCAATAAAATGTATAAAACAATCATTAATGGATATGTCTGAAAACAAAGCAAAGAATAAAAAAAAAGTTAAAATTCACTTATAAATAAAGGATTTTTAAATTAAATATTAAAAAAAAACCTTTCAGCAATTCAACTTTAAGCAGAAAAATTAGATAGCACCTTAAACAATGATGGTAAAATGTTTCTAGATTTGACAGTCTGAGAAAATAGAAAAGTAGGAGACTTATCCATTTATATTCAGAAGACAATAAGGAATGAAGTAAGTCACACTAAGTATATATGATATTGAGAAATACATCGAGTAATAAATTTAAAAAAAAGAAAAAAAAGTTATTCAAATTAGTAAATTATTTTAATTTGCAAGAAATGAAATTTCAACATTGGTACAATAACAAATCCAGCTGCACTAAAGAAACAGTTTTTTTTTTAATGAAAATTAAAAAAAAAAAAAAAACATTTATTTGACACAACCACCACACATCAACGAAGCAAGAGTAAATTGAAATACCCACAAAGAATTAGCATAAAACTTAAATAAATTTTTAAAAAAAATTTAAAATAAGCTAAAAAACCTAAAGGAAAAATTAAAATGAAAAGGAACGGCGGAATAAAAAGGAAAAGGTAAGTTAATCACCATTAATTTTACAATTAAATTTTGTTGGTGCTGCACATTGATGCTGAAAAATTCTGTTATTGCACTATTTGAAGTTCCTTTTAAAAAATATACATACTGTTCTACTGTTACTCAAGTAAATTTTCTTGACTTTTAAAACTTGTTTAGTTAAGTATGAATGATACTTAATTGAAGGAACATTAAGAAAATAACTATAGGAAACACTACATGCAGTTGTTTTTTGTCAAGAGAAGCTGTAACTTAATAATTTGAAGAAGAAAAATGTTAAAAATAAGTAGCTTTGTAAATTACTTATTTAAGAAAATATTATTTCAAAATTACTCATAATCTTCAAAAAATTGTTTCATGAACTAAAACGGGCATTATTTTAATACATTTCTTACCAACCCAATTAATTTTTTAACAAAATACCTTTAGATATAGATAAGAAGTGGCTTGGCTCTAAGATTTAAGCATCACTTCCACTAGTTTTTACCTAAAGCTAAAACCTGCAAACAACACTGTCAATGAAATAAATAACCCCAAGAAACTGAAGCGGTAAGATAGTAATCGACTAAAATACTTAGTTGGCTTTAAGAATATACAGATCAAAATAAAAGTCAATATGTTTCAAGAGCTCGAAAATAGTTGCCCATTCTCTAAAACTTAACAGAGGTGAATGAGAAGAAGTAAAAGTAATTTTAAATCCAAAACATAGAGTTGTCAGCGAAAAATGGAAAAGAAAGGCGAGGAACAAAACTTAAAAAACCGAAGTAGTCGAAAGTGAAACAAAAATAAAGTTGAAAAAACAGAAAAAGTGAAAACCCTATAGCCGAAAAGGGCAAATCGGGGTAAAAACATTTCTATGTGCTATGGAAAGGTGGTTGACTAATGTCATCAACAAGGGAATCAAGCAATTGATGCTGACTTGGTTTGGAAATATTTTTGGCAAATGGAATTTATGTCCAATATTCCAACATTGTGCATCAATTGATCATTTATTGTAATGGATATAACTATCTGGTTCGAATATGATAAATCATCAATTACTGCACATTGTTGGAATCTTAGGGATAAATTCAATTTCGACAATGACAAAATTATTTCCAAATAAATGGAGGTCCCAATAAATATCCTATTTCATATGAAATTCCACCCCAGTCACATCAGCTCATCTTGATGCTCTGGAATTTTGTTTCATTCATATGAATGCTGATTCCTTTGCTAACGGCATTAGTCCATACGCCAACTATCCATAGCGTGTGGAAAATGCATTTCATACTGATTTGGGTCTTTCAGTCACATTAATTATTCCTCCGTTTTCCATCTTTATTTTTGTATCACTCTCAGCTACTTCAGTTTCCCACCACTACTTTCTATTTTTCATTGGCAACATTGCGTTTTATATTACAAATCACTTTTGTTTATTTTCATTCACATTTAACAAGTCTTGAGAATGGGAGCATATTTTTTAGCACTTGAAACATGACGACTTGCATTTGCGCCTGAATATTTCTGAAGTTTTTTAATCAAGTAATCTATATATATATTTCTCTTACACGGCGACAAAAAAAGCCGCATTACAACTCCCCGAATGGCAACGCTAGAAAATCGGCCAATGATTGCCGCTAAAAATGTCACATGCCAAATCTAGCTGAGATGGCTCAACATATAGCGCTTTCAAAAACGGAAACTGAAATAAACAGAGAGAGCATAAGCTAGGCAGAAGTGAGTAGTCTTTGTCGATAGATCTCTATTTTAGTATTTTGCCAAAAGCGTTTTTTTTTTCACGAATTTATATATTACGAATTTATTTGACGATTTTTGATTTATATCACGAATTTATTTGTTTATGCAGGTTTTTCCATTGCAATTCACTTATTTCAATTTTTAATAGACTTTCAAGTAAATAATGCTTAA